GGGGGGGGGGGGGGGGGCTTCCTCCCCCCGAGGTAGCGTTGGAAAAAAAACTAACCCCCCCCGGTACGTCAATTTCCCCCCCAGGGGGAAAACTCCGACGTTTACGGTATGCCTACGTTTGATAGAGGTTACGGGATAGGGTAAGTGTCACGAACCCCCCATCTCTATTTCACATAGACTATATTGCTCACAATATTTCTCTAGCGAAGGCGGTGTATATTTTGTTGCGCGAGTTTTTCAAGGCGTCTGCATGTGCCTGTTGTTTCGTACTAAATCGGGGAGGCCCGGCTGGCAGTTTATCATAGTCGTTCGCGATCGAGCCAAAATGCTTTTCCTAGATCTGCTTAGCATTTGTTAAGAGCCCTGCCTTTTTGGTACGTGTCAATCGATGCCTGCCTGTCAACACGCAAGGTGTGTCTTGTCTCCCATTCATTCGTCTGTGATACGGTGGATAGTATGCTACACCAGGGTAACCAGAGCACGTCTCCATGTCCTTAGCAACACCGACGGAACCAAGCTCTCTCCCCCATGTGCGGGGGGTAACAGCCACCCACCACTCTGTTTGCCTCACCGCGAGGGCCTTCCTGCCCTGGTTTGTACGACGCATGCCCTCTAGGTGGCGTCTATTTACGTGAAGGACGCCCTCGCCGGCAGGGAGAGCCCGACCTGCATGCACAACCAAAACTCTCTCCGTGCATTGAAGGTAATGTGTTGATAACATAGGTACAACCTCCGAAGAAGTAGGAATTGGAGGTGTAGTAGTATGTGGAGAGTTCTTTTTTCACAAACGTAACGGAGTATGTTCAAAATTTCGAACACGGACGTTCTTGCTCGATCCTCGTCCCTGTAGGTCACCCGCAAGTGTATCGCTCGCTTTTGACAAGCAGCAGGTTTGAACACACGCTGCTGCGTCCATCTTTGTTGTCCTCTCTTCTCTCTCTTTCCCTCTATCTGTGTGTCTATCTCCCTCTCTCTTCCTCCACCCCTCTCTTCCTCCCCCCTTCTCTCCCTCCCTCCCTCTCTCTCTTCCCTCGTCTCTCTCCCTCTCTCTGGATACTTTGGGGCCCCCGCAGCTTGTCCGGAATAAGGCATGGAACCAGCTGTTGAACATATGCACGATCGTACACCTCATGCTGCCGATAGTGGAGATTCAGAGGTGTCTGCCTTGCATGGGCATGCAGAAGATACCCGAATCCCTCGATTCGAACTCTTTACACACAGGTGTGTACTGTAGGTGGCGTCTTCATGCCTCTCGCTGGTTCGCTTTTCAGCATCTGTTTTTGTGTCTTCCTGTCTGCGTAGCCCCGCTTTTTCCCTTTTCGTACGGTAGTGGTTCCTGTAGAAAGCCGCATAGTGCCAAGGTGTTTCGCCGGCCTTATCCCGGGCACCCGGCACTATTCAGAGCATGAGAGACAAGTTGAATATTTCATATGTGCCACGTGATCTCACCGGACTTTTTTCGGAACGATCGGCCTAATTGAAACGGCCCTTTTCAGGTACCACCACTGTAGGTATCCGGATTCTCTGAAGCCATGAGTCAGCATTCACTGTTATAATACGTTCTTGTTGCTGTGCTTGTCTGGGCTGAGCCATATCTGCTTCCCCTGTTGGCATTTTCTTGCTTCTTCTTTTTAGAACATCGCATTATTCTATGTTGGCAGCAACGCACCCGCTCTGCTCCGTGGCATGGGAAGAAACCAACAACGCTAGCAGCTCTTTCCGTGTGAACACCCCCTTTCAAGCCCTACTCTCACGCCATACCTGAAGGGCATCTCGAGCAAGTTGTCCCGAAATAATTACTGCTGAGGGACAACGCGAGTACCGTAAATGACACAATATAAGACACCTACACAATATAAGAAACCCCCCACAGTATACGACACCCCGGTGGTAATTTTGGGCGTCTCTGACAGACCATCGAATTATCACCGGGGGTACACAATATAAGAAACCCCGGTGGTATTTGTAGTTGCGCCGCATGCATTCGCGGGCCCCCTCCTTCTTGTATGACCCGGGGTGACAGCATCTGCCCTTGCGCATCATCACACCACACACACAGCTGTGTGCGGAGGAACACCCCGCATGCAGACCCCAAAGAACATGAACATGCAGGCAGAGCAGAATGTAGCCGGCACTACCGGTAGTACCCCCGCTCCTTCGACCGCTGCTTCGGCAACTGCTTCGACTGTAGCAGCACAGGCGCCACAGCAGATCACCTCCTTCTTTGGGCCCGCGCACTCTTCTTCTACGAGAGAGGCTCCTCCTGCCGGCACTCTTGCTCCTGCTGCTGCTGTTGATCTAACAGCAGCAGAAGGAGCTGGAGCAGCAACAGGCGCAAACATGACAGCCTCTGCATCGCCTCAGCAGCAGCCAGTTGCTGGCTTGATGTCAGCAGCGCGTTCGAGCACCGAAGCCGACGAATCAACGCGCAGCAGCCAAGCATCTCAGTTGGTGGACGTGGTGGACGAGGAGCCCACCACTTCCGCTGGGACGGAAGAAAGATCCAAGTGAGTGTGCATGGTTTGTGCTTCGTGGATTTGGCGTACCGTAGTATCAGTCCGCGTGTGGTCTCGAAACGTGCAATTGTGGGTTAGCCTTTACGCCAACCCAGGGTTCGTGTGGCTGTATTTTTTTTT